GTGGGCGAGGTTTCCGGCGCCCCACTTCCTCCTCCCCCGCTGCGGTTTCTTCCCTCTGTCGCTATCTGCTCTGCTCGGGCTCCTGTCCTGCTCACGGGTGTGTGTTGGGACAAGGCGTTTGATATTTTCGTGATTGTTTCCTTGCTGAGCTCTGCTCTGCTTCATTTTTCCCTCTTCCCTTATTGTCTGTTCAGGTGATGAGTCAGGCGGGTTGACAATTTAAAAACATTTCTTTTTGACATTGAAAAAAGAAGCACTTCCTTTAATATATAAGAAACACAGAAGACACAAAGAGAGCCCAAGAAAGCTCTCAGTTCCACAGCTGGTAGTTTAGGGGTAGTCAAAAAAAAAAAAAAAAAAAAAAAAAAAAAAAAGAGCCTTTCCAGTCTCCTGGGGAAAGAAGGGTGAGAGGTCACGGACTATCACTAGCCCCCTGGTGAACCCAGGGCTGGGCCACGACGACCTCGTTCTCTACCAAGGCCGAGCGCTGGTTTTCTTTGTCACGGTCCCGACCTAGCTCCCATGCAGTCATCCAGTTCCCAGAATGGCCCCTGCCTTTAGTTCCCCAACAGTTTCACTCGGGGGAGAAGGTCGCTTACTCTGGCGTGATGTCGGCGTCCTGGGGAAGTCGCCATCCTGCAGGATGGTGGGAGGAGGTCTCCCTGGGACCTCGCCGTTCAGTTTCCATCTGTTGCGCTTAGAACCTGAAGACCTAGACGTCTCGGGGTCTCTCAGGGACTCGTCTGAGCCCTGGCTGTCCTGTTTCCTCTTTAGAAAACACCTGCTCGATCTGACTCCAAGGTGGCATCTGGTCCTCCAGGGAAAACTGGGTGCCCAGAGGCAAGTCCAATTCAGAAGACAAAGGGCCTCTAGGGGCAGAACAGGCTCTGGGGGGAGGTTTGATCTGGGGGCTTCGATCTCAAATACTTCACTCAGCTGTTTCACCAGTGGGCTTGGAGGCTCTCCACGGCTGGTCTTCACAGGTGTCTGCAATGCTAAGGGCAGGAGAGTGGGGGTCTGAGCCCCAGGCCTGATTGGGACCCTCCAGCTGCCCCCTGCTGGCAGGTTTGGCTGTAGAAAGCTCTCCACCTGCATGGGGGTGTGCGTGATGCCCGCATTAGGTGAGCGTGGGGCGCCCCTCAAGCCAGATGCTTGCTGTGCTCCGAGCTCACGCTGGAGTGGCTGGGACGCTCTTGGTGGAGTCCATCTCAACCAGGAGGGACAGGGTGGGCCTGGGCTCGGCCGAGGGAAGGAGGGGATGCCAGGCCCCAACTCCACCTTTGGGTGTAAGGCAGCTCCAGCTGAGTGAGTTTCAAACCGTGACAGTTGACATTTTTTTAACTTAAAATGTTTCAGCTTGACTGCTCCTAGCTAAATATATTTTGACCTCAGCTCTGGATTGTGACTCTCTACTCAGCCAGCGAGAGCAAGGAAGCCTGGTGCCAAAACCTTCTCTCTTTCTTTTTGGACTGAGATTATCCTCAGCAGATCGGAAAGGCTCCCTTGTGTCCTGAAGGTCATTTTGCAATTTAGTTCAGGTATGGAGTTGGCCGGTGGGATGCCCAGGTGTATGAATGTACCTGCCACAGAGGAATGTGTTTGGCCCTGGTGCCATTTTTCTATTTTTTATTTTTTAATGAATCCACAGGTAATTTACACAGTTCTGTGCCCTGGGGAGGCTTGAATAAGCTCTGAGTAGCCACAGATTCTGGCAGCTTATTAAATATTGGACTGAGACGAAGGGAAAAGAAAGTCAAGTCATCAACAAGTCTCTGGCAGAAGGATTGTTGGAGGCCACAAAAGGAGTTGACAGACAGCAAGATCCCACTTTTAATGCCGGGCAAATACAGTCTTCTAGACAAAGCCCTTCATCCTCCAGGCTTGACCCCGGTAGGCCATGCTTCTTCCCCCACCCAGACACCCCACACTCAGTGCAGGGCGGGAAAGCAGAAGGAAAGAGAGAAGGGCAGAATGGGATCTTAGGGGGTTAAGTTAGTGCCTACACACACTACCCTCCGAGTTTGAGACGGAGAGCCCAGAGACAGTGTAGATCCAGTCTCTATACTCCTTTACTAGTTCTTTCATCTGTCCTCACATATTTATGGAGGACCTATATATGTATGGCAGACACTGAGTTCAGCCCTGGGAATGCAGAGAACAGAATAAGAGTTGAGAGGGGTAGACGGTGATCAAGTCATTACAAATGGAATGAGGGTCTCGAAGGAAGAAAAACAGGCAGTGTAGGTGACAGTGGGGTTATTTAATGGGAGAGCTGCCCCAGGCTGGGGTGGCGGGCGCGTGGAAGGCCTCCTTGATACCGCGACTTTTAATCTGGTGTGTAAGGTATAAGGTGAAATTACATCGGGCGAAGAGGTGGGAGAGGTGTGTATTAGGCAGGGGCGATTGCAAGTACAAAGGCCCTGAGATGAGAGAGAGGAGGGAATAATAAAGGATGGGTGGAACAGAGACAGCTGTGGGAAGGGAGGAGAGGCGTGGCAAAAGACGAAGCCAGAAAGATAGGCAGCTGCTGGACTTAGAAGGCCCTACAGGCTGGATGAAAGGTCGGGGGCTTTATGCAAAGGTCTCTGAGAAGCTGCAAAATCATGTTAAGCAGGAGAGTAACACGATCAGGTTTGTGTTTTAAAGATTCCTCTGGCAGGATCAGAGGGGCAGCGAGTCCATCAGGAGGCTTGTCAGAGGCGAGGAAGGAGTAGCAATGAAGAATGAAGATGCGGGGGCTGGAGGTGCTTGTGGTCTATTTCAGGGTGTCGCTGACAGGCTACCGTGTCGAGAAGAGATTCAGGAGGTAAAGATGAAGCAGAGAGACCAGTGATGAAATGATTGTGGTAGCTCAGGTGAGCAATGATGGCTCTGGGACTGGACTTAGCGCTGTGGGTGGAGAGAGGGAGTTGGGCTCTGGATGTATTTGGAACAGGTGGAGTGAGAGAGAGAAAAGCATCATGAGTAGCATCAGGTCCAAGGCTTTGGGCCTGAGAAACTGGGAGAAAGGTGTTGCCCCCACCCAGGATAGGGAAGCCCGTGGGAGAAGCTGGTTGGGTGAGGATGGAGTGATCTGGAACAAGCTTAGTTTGAGGTTTCTATCTAACGTCGAAGTGGAGACGACGGAGAGCGAGCACTGGAGTCTGGAATGAAAGGAGTTTGAAAGCCAGAAGTGTTGGGGTGGTATTTAAAGCATGGGCTGGATGAGCTCGCTCACCGAGGGCGTGAGAGCAGATCCAAGGGAAGTCTAAGGACTGAGGGCTGGGTGCACGACCCGCTTATCAGCCAGGAAAAGGAGGAGAGGAGAGTGCACTGCAGGAATTGGGGGGAGGAGGAGAGCGGGTGGAGCGAGGGAGGAGCTCCCGGATGGAGGGGAGGCTGGCCGAGCCTCGCGCCGCTGACTGGTCAAGTCAGATGAGCAATGAAAACAGACTGCGCGGTGGGCGCTGGGTATCGCTGGTCACCTTGGCATGGACACTTTCAGAGAGCGGTGGGGCTGAGAGCCTGAGTAGACAGGTTCAAAGAGAATAGATTGGAGTAAGAGCCCAGGCAACAGCTAAGGGGACAGTGCCCGGGCCTAGGAGGAAGGCCGACCATCCGGGCAGGGTGTCTGGACCACAGCCAAGTGGCCTGGGGAACAGGGCAGAGCTTCTGGCCCCAGCAGGAGAAACCGAAGTGCAAAAAATACAAAGTAGGAAGAAAGGAAAAGTCCAGAACATGGACCTGGAGCACCTGATGGGGAGGAAGACTTCAGCTCAGGGGCACTCCCGTGCCAGGCTCCGGGCAGCAAGGCTCATTCCAGGTGGTTCCATTGGCGGGGAGAGGACTTGGCCTACATCGCTGGGCGGGGACAGGGCTGGCCAGGATGGGAATGGGACCAGGGCATGAAGGTCTTCGGTGTGCACGGCTGAGCAGGGCAGTGGTTCTGACTGCACATTACAGCGACCTAGGATGCTTTGCAAAAATACAGAGCTCTGGGCCCAGCCTCTGAGAATCCCCATCTGTCTGTCTTGAATGGGGCCGGGCCCCGTTTTCCAACATCCTCCCAGGTGATTGTAATGTGCTGCCAGCTTCGGTTTATTCTGTGCGTGGGGCCGGGCCTGCGTGGGAGGCACTTTGAGATAAAGAGGGGCCTAGGGAAAGTCACCCCTGATTGAGAGGGCAAGAATTGCTGTAATCTCTGAAGGAATTCGTTGGCTTTCCTCAGAAGAGTGATTCTCATAACATTTACCAAAATGAAAATCCTGCTTAATTCTGCAGGTTTATAGCTCCCCAGAGGCTGGAGAAAAACATCATTTGGCAACAGAAACAAACTTTATTCTGGCAGCACAGGCAAAATTGCAAACAGTAGATAGTGAGTTGCACATCCTTCTCTGGAATTTCAATGTACTGTATGCACAGAATGCAGAGAAACACAGTTGTGGCCAATTGTTCATGCTGCCACCAGGACCAAGTGCTTCCGGGGACCATTTTAGGTCTCTCAGTCCCCTTATTCCAAATTTCCATGATGTCCTGGGACAGATGTGCTTTCTGTCAGCGCATCACTTCTTCCTCTGGGGAACCACTCCCTGCCATTATGTGCAGTTTGGTATGCCGTCCACAACAATAGTTAACTCCCCCGCTGCCCGCAGGGACATGATCCAGAACTAGCCCATTATAGTAGCGCTATCCCTGGAAACGGTGATTGGCTCGTGAGGTCGGCAAGGAATTCAAAAAGGGCCCATGAACGTTTTGTTTTTTAGGGGTACTATTATATAGATAATGGTAAATTTCTCTCCTGAAGATGCGAAGCTAGAGAATGCGAGTCTGGATTTATCGGTTGCCATTGTTGTCATACTGTGTGGATTAAGATGCTTATTTATAGAATGAAGGCGGAGAGAGAGAGAGAGAGAGAAAGTTTTTCCCAACAAGATGCCCGGTTCCAGGCGTCCAGACTCCAGAACTTTCAGTCCTGCGAGCTTTTCCTGCGCACTTTTGGGGTTAAGCTTTTCGAAGTTGAGTTCTGTCTCTTGCAGCAAGAGCATCTTGACTAAGCGGTGGCCTCTCGGATTCTCCTTAAGCTCGTGGGAAGTTGGAGGCGTGGGGTATGCACTGGAGAGTGAGGCAGGCGTGGTCAAAGAGTTTGTGAGGCAGCTGTCCCTGTGACGTCCAGGTGTCCGTCTCAGGGTCGTAGCAGTCAAAGGAGGCCAAGTCCTCGATGTTGCAGTCTGTGGTCAGCCGCCGCCCGCCTGTCACATAGAGCTTGTTCCCCATCACCGTGGCCCCGTGGTGCATCCTCCGGTCTCTCATGTCCGCACATTTGACAAATTTGTTGGACTGAGGGTCATAAGCTAGGATCCTCCTGGTGTAACCTGGAAACCAAATGGCGTATCCACAAGGTCAGCGTTGCTTATCGGGGACTGGAGGCGAGCAGTCCAGGGGCGTGTCTGGTCTCTGCCATCGCCTAACACCAGGGCTGGACTTGCAACTAATGTGTGGAACGTTGCAGTAACCTGCCCCCACTCTAGTATGTGGCAGAGCTGGGGTTTGGACTCAGATCTGTCTGATCCTGGCCCCTGCATCCTTAACCCCACGTTAAGACGGCACCTAAGCCATTCTTCAACGGGGAGCAGCCTCCTGATTCTGATGGCTTTTTCGTCTCTCTCACATGCCCATCCAAGAGGTACAACAACCCAGAGAAGGAGCCTTAGGGACACTCATGAGTCCCCACGACAGCCCTATCTGGGGGTACTGTTAGGACCCCCATTTTACAGATGAGCAAAGTAAGGCACAAACAGAGTAATAACTTGCCAGAGAGCATACAGCCAGTTAGTGGCAGAGTTGGGATTTGAACCCAGATCTGACTCCCAAACCAGTCCACTATACTGTGAGAACAGAGAAATGACTGATCCATTAGCAGCAGATGTTAACAACGGCAAATGTTTTTTGAGCCTTTGCCGTGTGTCTGGGATAGAGCTAAGTGCTTCTGATACGTGAGCACTTTTCTTTTGTAATCGTAGCAACTCTGCGGTATGGGTATTATTTCATTCCCGTCTACAAATCAAGACAGGGAGAAACTTCTGGATGAGAAGAGAACTTTGGCAAGTGGTCCAAAGTTCTAGAGGGATGTACTTTCAAAAAGAGTCTTGTGGAACCACGTGTGTCTGTCAGTGACCCTTTTTCCACAGGAAGTGGCACGTTCGTGCCCAGCCTAGCGACCCCTGGTTCGGACTCACCTCCCACGATGACAATCCGCTCCCCCAGCACCACCGCAGGGGCACACACGTTCTTGATCATTCTCGTCTCCATTTTGAACCACGTGTTTCTGGAAATGTGATACACCTGAGGGAGAAATAGAATCAGGGCACCGCGTTTTAAAGTGACATATTTTTTTTAAAAAGACAGAAATAGTAAGTAGGGTAAAATAGAAGTGATTTTATTTCTTTTCCCTTTTTTCCAGTTTTCAAAATATACATCTATTACTGTTAATAAACAAAATGTCTTTAAATAATGGAAAGAAGACTATTGCTAGAATTTGCTCTTTGTGTGACCCCATGAGATCAGTGGCTGTGTTTTTACAGAACGGACCAAGAGTTATGCGTTGCGGTATGCATTCGCTTACCTTGTTTGGAACATGTTTTTCTTTTAATGAGGAGTGGAGCAACTTGGATATTCATGAAACCAATGATTTTTCAATTATTTTTATTTCTGGCTCATGTTTAAATTTCTAAATGTTCCAGCATATCCGAGAGGGCCTTAGAGCCAAGAATAAATAGGGGGCTGAGTGAGGAAGGGTTTTGAACAGTTCATGCCTGAAACTCATTAGAATCACAGAAAAAGGAAGCATAAGAGAAAGAAAAAAGAGCGAAGAGGTGAGGACAGGTCTCCTTGGCCATGCTCTGAAGCAGAGCAGCAAATCATGATTCTCAGAACACGGTCTCCTCTTAATTTCCTCAGATTAAAGTTGAAATATTAAATGTAAATTCATTACTGACAAAATTTAGCAGAAGAGATAGCGGATAGACTTCATATAAGAAAAGAAGGAATAAAAACATTCATTTACAGAGGAAAATGGCACAGTAGTCTTCACTGGAAATTCTGCATAAAATATAATTGCCACCATATTAAAGGCCATTTGTTAAAAAATCATTTTAGCAAATTTGACCTTCACGACAATCCTATGAAGTAGGTACCGTCGCTCGGCCCCATTTTTCAGATTAGACATTGAGGCTCAGAGAGGTTAAACGACATTCCCAAGGTCATACAGCTAGAGTGAGCGAAAGAGCTGGTCTGGTTGAGCCCAGAGTCCATGCTTTTAACCTCCACACTCATGGTTCTACTTGGGGTCATGTAGGCGTGGCCTGACTTGATGGACACTTTTGAGACTGGAGACCTCTTGAGGTCTCGGTCAGTCCTTTAAGTTGGCGAAGCATGGAGGAGGCCAAAAGCTAGACACAGGGACAATCACAGTGGCTGTCAAGTCGCATGATTTTATCTGAAAATACTTAGGTGACCCCCTTGGGAAAGTGGGATCACTGGTTGCATTTTACCTGAGTGAGTAATTGCATCCTGGCCTTCTATCAGATTTGAGTATGGTTTCAAAAATGATGAAACATTTGCTCACCATCTTTGTAATACCCCCAGAGAGGCCAGGGTGAGGATATCCAAGGATGGTCTCTGACCAGTGGAGGAAGCGATACTTCGTTATGGTAATGGGTCTGCTTAATGCCATCCAGCAACAGAGGTGGAAAGTCGGCCAAGTAGAAAAGTCCATGTATGCACGCAATTCGCACAGTAACCCCGCTCCGGTGTGATTCTTAAAGGAATGCGTGCATGAGGATGAACCATCCCTGGAAGAGATCTCTGAACCTGTGTCTGAAAATCCAGCCCACTTCGTGAAGTAACGCTAAACATTCATCTTAAACTATATCTAAAAGAGTAAAATTTCTATTTCAAAGCGAATGCTAAATAGATAAGAGGGCTTCCAGATTAATACTTTTTCCCTTTTCCCCTTCTGTTCACTGCAGTGTAAAAGAATCACTCACATGTTATTATTATTTTTTTTAATCTTTGGTTTTGCAAGGGTCTTGTCTGTACTGTGAATTTTTCGATATGCCAAATCTAAAGGTTTTTTTGAGCTTTGTGTTTTTAGGAAGTTGATAATTTTGCCATGTGAAATCATCAGCATATCTGTTGACTTTATTTTGAAAAATAGTTTTAAGAAAAGAGGGAGGGGCTCTAGTTTTACGTGGAAGCACCATATTACATCAGCGATGCGTAGACAGAGCTCAGAGGAGAGCAGAACATGTCTCTCTCGGCTTAAATAAAAAGTAGGATCTGGAACAGACTCAGAATCCGCCTTGATGGTCAGGGAGGAGCTGAGAGTATGGACTGGAGAAATGAAGGCAAGGAAAAAACACAAGAAAAGAATTAAATCAGAGATCGTCACTTTTCTCCATCTCCACTGGTGCCCTTAGCCCAAGCTACCATTGTCCTTCAACTCTCCTCCCTTTGTCCCCTCAGGCCCCTTCAATCCCTTCCCCACAAGGTGTCCAGAGGAAGCGTCTAAAATTGCAGATTTGATGACTTTGCCCACCCTCTTTCTCTCAGGCTACAACCCAGTTCCTTGAGGAAGCCTAGAAAGCCTCATCTCCACAAATACTCATCCCCCAAGGGTGTTCCTGAATTTCTGTAGTAGGGACTCAGTGGGGAGGGGGTTGCTCGGGGCAGCTTGAGAAGGGGGCAGATGGAGATTATGTGGGAACTAACTGCCCCCTGCCCCCGCCCGCCACCTCCTTTCCCGCTCTGCCTTGGTGGACTCCCTCCCTCCTCCCTGGTCTGTGTGGCAGCTAGGTGGTCATGCTTTCAGTTCCTCCAGGCAATGGGCTGTGCCCCTTTCTGCTTCAAGGCCTCTATGCCAGCTGCTCCCTTACCCAGCAACACCAGCCCTCTCTCAATAGATGGCTCTGCCTACTGCTGCAGATGGCAGATTCATCCACTCAGAGAAGCTTCCCACCCATCTCTGCCCATGTTAGAGCTTTCCATCCATCCTATGATTCTCCCTCCTCTTATACTCATCATCCTCTCCTTCTTTCTCTCTTCCCCTGCCTCTCTGTTCAAGTCAGTTTAAACCAACCTCACAGCGTTCCCTCCAAAATTGCCTGATTCTCTCTAGACTGGTTTAGGGCACCCCCTATCATCTTAGAGCACCCTTCCAGTCAGCGTCTGAATTGCAATTGTCTGGCAAGCTCCTGGGGGTAGGTGTAATTGACTGCCCATGACTGTGCCCCTAGGGCCTTCACCGTGGTTGGCACTCAATATTACTCTTATAAATGGATAAGCAAATCTCATCGGTCTCCTTGATGGTCTTTAAAGATAAACTTGTTATTCAAGCTTTTTGTATCATTAGATGAACTGCAGAAGTTGCTAGAATTTGCATAAAGTTGGGAAACAATATTCTGAAAATTTGGTCTTTATTAATTATACTACTCAGAGAGCTTGTGAGTAAAATTAGCATCTACCTCTCATTTAAGGCATCCCCAACCCTGCTGCACCTTTGACTCTCCTGAAGACTTCTGTAAACCATGACCGTTAGGACCTCCACACAAAGAGATTTGATTCAGTAGACCTGAGGTCTGGTTCCGGGGGATTTGTAACAGACTGTGGACCGATGCTTGGGAATCTTCTTTTAAGGTCCTACTGACGTGGATTAGAAGCACCTGCCAAATTCCTGCAGGATTTCACCATCTGACGTTCAGTGTATTCTAGCTTGAACTTTTAGGTATCCTATTTTTTTCTCAAATGAAGATGAACACTTTGTAGACAGAGATTGTGTCTGATGTACCTTTGTATGTATTAATCTTACACAAAAATAATTCATAAACACATGAAATCTTGCTGAAATTAAACTTCCTTCCTTCCCTCCTTTTTCTTTCTCCTGAAGATGACAAGTGTGTATGTGTGTATTATATGCATGTGTGTGTGTATATGTACACATGCGCACATGCATGCACGATGACAAGTGTGTATGTGTGTATTATATGCATGTGCGCATATAATACACATGTATATGTACACATGCATGTACACATGCATGTACACATGCATGCATACACGCACATGTGCATGTTTATGTATATGCACATGTTATGTGCATGTATATGTGTGTATGTATGTTATGTGTATCCATGTATAGGCATGTGGATGTGTATGTACATACATGTGTATGCATGTGTGTGCATGTGGGCACACTCTCATGCACTTATGTGCTGGGGAGGACCAGCCACATACCTGGATAAGGCGCACAGGGTTCTGCATGATGTCCTCTCCCCCAAAGAGGTAGAGTCTTTGGTCTTTCACGGCGACTGCAGGGTGGAGAACCCCCACTGGCATGCTGGCCATACTCTCCCAGACGTCACGGATGCTGTCGTATCTCTCCATGGAGCCCATGACCTCCTGCCCTTCTCCGATCCCCCCAATGGAGAAGATGAAGTTCTTGTGGGCAGTGCTTCTGTGGGAGTAACGGGCCACCAGCATGGGCTGCCCCAGCCTCCACTGGTTGAGTTTCAGGGAGAAGATGTAGGTGTCGTGACTGGGCACCCCCTTCTCTGTGCCCACGACCATGCCGCCCAGCACGTAGACGCTACGGTGCAAGGAGACGGCTGTGGCCTTGTACAGCCGGGTCGGAAGCTTGGCCAGGCTCTGCCACTGGCCAGTCTGTCTGTCATACAGCAGAACGTCTCTGGTGGTCTGCTGGCTGTCCTTCCTTCCCCCCAAGAGGATGAGGAAGTCTCGGTAGGAGCTTCTTGGGGGCACATGCCATGGTGGTTGGCAGTCTGGGGCACTGGGGGTGCCCTGCAAAGAAAACATCTGCCTCTGGGCCGCCTCCAGGATGAGCTGGCACGCGGGCGAGGCCCGAAGGAGCGCGTCGCCGGCGATGAAATGCTGGAAGAAGGCCGGGTGCACGTGCGGGAGCCTGACCAGCCTGAGCAGGTCCTGCATGTGTCGTCTCCGGGCCTGGACGTCATGCTTGACCCAAACCATGAGGGCCTCAAACACCTTTTCCTCCTCCCCACAGAGCCCGTCATCCCCCAGGTAGTCTCTCAGCTCCAAAGCACAGAGCTCCTTCAGGTCTGCCGACGTGGCCACCTCTGGAAAACGTGTCAGGGCCACCTCCCTGGCTTTCTTTCTGAGGGTCTCGCAACTTAAGATCTCAGAGAGTCTGATCATGCCCAGGCAGTTGCTGGGGGTCAGCTGGCTCTGGAGGTAGGAGGAGCAAGCCTCGAAGAGCTTGGGGTACTGCAGCATGGAGGCAGCCTCGATCAAAGGCAGAACGTTCTCCGCCGTGATGTGTGCCTCCCCGGTGTACACGTACAGGACGATCTGGTCCAGAGCCGTGGACTCGATGCCTTTCAGCTGGACTTTGGCCTCGCTGCTCTCCCGGAAGTTGCTGCAGAACATGGCCCTGAAGTAGGGGCTGCTGGAGGCCAGCACGTTTCGGTGGCAGGGGACCTCCTGGGCCCCGGCGCAGATGCTCACATCAGTCAGGATCCTGTTTTGTCTCAGGCCGTTGAGCTGCCTCAACAGTTCAGAGGAGAAGTCTTGGTCTTGGAAGAGCAGCCCACCTGGCAGCTCCTCACCCATCCTGCCAAGAGCGGAAGAAGTCCCAGGAGGGCGCCTGGGCTGGAGCGCTTAGCTATGGTGGCTCTGAGACATACAGCCCCACGTCCGCTCACCAAGATGCATGTGGCTGTCACCTCACCAAGAGTATCGCCTCGTGAAGATTGGAAAGGGGGGCCACCTACACGTCAGACGTTATAGCTCGCTCCACTCTTTTTGGTTATGATTACTCTCAAAGGTAACAGGCAAAGAGCATCTTCAGATAATCTGAGAAACAAACAAACAAAAACAATGGAGACTGTTACTTGATTGTCTGGGGCTGAAATATTACCATAAAGAAAAATGACAGTCCACGCGTTCAACCAACAGAAGTCTGTAAGCCTTTCTCTAGATTCTCAGCCTACCTGTTATTTAGTAAACTCACCTAAGCATGTTTCTGGGTGTTAGTCATCCTCCAAGGATGTCATTCTAGGGGTGTGGCCTTCTGGTAACCAGACAGAAATGAGGGATGAACATGGACCTTTGCAATGTTTTTCTTTTCCCTTAAGAACATGGCTTCGCAAAGTCTTTAGGGTTTTGTTTTAAAGAAGGGATAAATAGAAAGCAGAGACCCAACAATATCCTGGGCCGGGTTTATTGGATGACACCTGGCCGTCTACCTGCACAAGAATGAAATGTTAGAGACATTTACCTTGTTTTGCAGCAATGTCATCCACTGATGTCGGGTCCGGCTGGTCCCTCCAGAGTTTTCACCTCTGGCTCCAAGTGAAACCATAGACCCAGGCCTTTCCTGCAGTTGGCAAATGGTTTGTCTCGAGAGAGTTCTGGATTTGTTTATGCTGAAGGCGCTTTCGCAGTTTTCTAGAGCTTTGTGACAGAGCTGCCGGGCAGAGAGACAGTGTATACATTCCAGGGCTAAGAATAGTTGCATATGTACTTTCCACTGTTATGACATGTGACTTTCCAGTTGCTTTCACAGCAGCGCGAGGGCCTGCAGGGCTGGCGCATGCCCACAAGCCTTGTTTCCTTGGCAAGTGTTTACATCGGCATAAATAGATCAGAAGGAATGGCTTCTCTTAGACAAGACTTTGCTGCCCACTTGGAAAAATCTCCCATCCCTTGTCCTAAAAGTGCCTGGGAATTCTAGATGTCTGTGAACAGGTGCTGTGACCTGGGGATAGTCACCAAAGATAGTTCTGGGCAAGCGAAAGGTAGCAGATGGTCACAAGGGGAGCCGGAGCGTGGGCCCAGGGGTGCTGTTTAATGGCTCTCTATTTCCCACCTGCCTGCCAGGATCATAAGAGAGGACTGTGATTTCCTCCTCCCCCTCTGAGATGATGAAATCGATGACAAAAGTTGTTTTTAATATTTATGAAGCACCCCGGAGTTTTCAGACTCGGAAAGACCGAAACTTGGTCGGTTCTCCTTGTTTCCCGAAGCTGCTGTTTTAAAGTGGTGGGGGCAGTAGGACTCTTCCTGTCATTCCTGCCCCCCTCCGCCCCCCGCCGACGTGTGCTGATTGTTCTTCAGTTATTTTTTAATAGTTCTGGCTTGCTCCTCTGTGTTACTTTTCTGTTTTCTCCTGTAAGAAAGGCTCAAGCTAGAGGAGGCAAGGCATATTGCTCCGGGGTGTGCCAGAGAGTGAGAGATGGATGGAGGGAGGGAGAGAGAGGGAGACAGGGAGGGGTGCGGAGAGGGGGAGATGGAGGGGGAAAGAGAGAGAGAGAAACAGGACGAGGAGAGGGAAAAGGAGGAAGGGGAGCAGGAAGAGGGGAACGATGATGGTTATGGAGTAGGAGTCAGCCTCCAAATGCAAGAATCAGAACCAGGACGGAGGACTATCGAATGACGAGGATGACTAAAAGGGACCCCCAGCTGTGGCCTGCCCCTGCCTCTAGGGGCTCCTGATGGAGGGTACCACCAGTGAGTGGCAGAGAAGCCTGGCTTTCTCTCTTTTTTTCAAGTCATGCTCGGACTATCGTAACAGCTTCCCATACTGATTCTTCTCCTTGCTCCTAGTCTCTCTCCCTCCAATATATTCACCTCGTCACCATCAGAGCAACCCAGGGGAAGGCAAATCAGAATCTGCCCGTCTTCTGCATCATGCCCTTCTGTGGCTCCCATGTCTTCAGGACAAAGACCAGACTCTTGAGCGGGAATCAAATTGGTCTCCTGCCACCTCTTGCCACTTTCCTCTCTCCCACTTACATTTTTATTCTTGCTTTATCAGACAACTTGCAGATCTTGTATGTCTGGTCCCTGTTCAGGAGGCAGGGCTGGCCTGGCCTTTAGGGCACCACAGGGCAGGGTAGAATGAGTAAGTGTGTCTTATTCATAGTTGCAGATCATAGAGTAGGTCATGTCCAAGGTCAGGCAAGGAGATCTATAACATGTCCCTGGGACCAGGGGCCTAGAGGCCAGAATTAGGAGCAGGAGACCTGAGCCAAGGGAGGCAGAGACCCACGGGGGTACAAGCAGGATGCTGGAGAGGAAACTTGTTAGTACAGCTATCAGAGCTGGTGACTGTTCCTGCACATCTGAACCGTGCTGGTAACGTAACAAACGGGTAACTAAATTCCTTAAGGGGCTCAGGGTCCCTCTATTTCATGCTTCTCATCCTCTGTACTGTTTCTATTCCCTCTACATATTTCTAATATTACATGCCTCATACCTCATTGTCATTGTGTTTACCTGACTGTGTCTCTCTTCTTAGAAGGGAAGTGCCTGGGCAGCAAGAACCTTGTCTTAATTATCTCTCTATCTTGAATGCCTAGCACAGTGCCTGGCATGTAATGGGCGAATTATATATAGTTCCTGAATTGAGCTGTAATGGAATGAAAGCTAAGAAAAGAGAGGGCGCTCTGCTGAGTGAACTTCCTGCCCCCATCTGCTGTACGGGTTTAGCAGGATTGCCATGTACAGCTCGGTGCATGTCCATTAGACTGCAAAGCAAATGATGCTCCAGAGAGAGGCCCTGGATGTTCCTCGTTTTAATCAAATCCAATCACATGATGAAGTGAAAGTAAGATAATTGCTTTATACCACACAGCAAGAGTTAAGTTCAAGGTTGAGAACTAAATTGACATCCTCTCAGCTCCAAAGCTGGTGCTTTAGTCCTTGGCCTCAGAGTCAGCACAAGGAAAAATTAAGCTCCTGTTGCTCTGAAATGCCTGTCTTTTTTTTTTTTTCCCCTTACACCTACAGGACCTGATCTTCCTAGGTGGTCTCCCATCCGAGTGCTAACCAGGCCTGACCCTGCTTAGCTCCCAAGATCAGACGGGATTGGGCTTGTTCGGGGTAGCATGGCCGTAGACTGAAATGCCTGTTATTTCTCTTTTCTGGCTGGTGAGCAAGCTGAGGGTTTGTCGTGAGGGAAGTAGGCAGGGGTTTCTGGAAGTGAACTAACATGGCACTGTCTTCCGTAGGGGAATCTTGG